AATAATAATAATAATAATAATAATAATAATAATAATAATAATAATAACATATTTTATTTTAAAAGCATCTTAAGCATCTTCTTTTCCTTAGAATATTTCATTATTCTGATATTTTTCATTCACTCGAAAATACCGGGACTAATGAGAGAGAAAAGTATAAGCAGGCATAGTTGGTCCCAAGTCATTTTGAAGAGGGGGTGCAGTGAACATGTTTTTTGTATTTTTTTGTCTGCGTGGGATTTCCATGGAGACTCAGAGATCAAATCTGTCTGAAGCTTGTCTCTCGTTCTGAGAGAGGCTCCATCTATCTTTTGTCCCGCCTGCAATTACCTCTTCAGGGTCCTGACCCCAGTCAGGAGAAACCGGAGGGTGAACGGGGAGAAATGGATGATGGAAGAACAGAAACATGGCGTTTGGTATGAAATAGGAAATAAGAATTGTTGGATTCAGACACACAAACACCATCCTCTGGTCTTTGTTAAAGCCACACACATCCATATTCCCTCCACTTAACCCCAAATCTGACACAGCTCTGGATATAAACCACTCATTCTCAGTTTAGGGTTAATATAAGTGTAAAAGCACCACCACCCTCCGACCTCAGGCACTGGAACTTTGTGGATCTTCTGTAAATTTCTCGTTGCTGTGGACTGAAATAATACGCTAAATAATAATGTGCATCCAACTTTTTTGGAAGGTATTTGGTCCAGAATGAGTTTTGGGCTTCATAGCTGTTTCCTGCATGAACATATGAACTTAAGCATACAATATAAGTTTAGATAATGAAATTAGTAGAAAAAAATACTCCATGCCTTCATTTCCTAGTTCAAGCAACAAACTGCTTTTTAATATTTGACACCAAACAGCATGTATGATTAAAATATGATATTATTTGGGGCAATTTGTCTAAACTAATACATATATAAGAGGTAATAGCTACATTACATCATATTAAGTGTTAGGTGTAATATATTCTCATGGCTGTTTTGAATTAATAAAATTAATATGAAGCACTTAATATTTCTTTGGTTTAACAATTTCTCAAAAATTAACCCTATAATGCCAAATGTATCATATTTGATACATACGGTTTCTGAAATGTTTTGCATCTGACACCTTTTACATAATTTAATGGTAAAAACTTTGCTCAAAATCCTATTGTACACAATCATATACACCTGATAACAAGATGCAGAAGACTACACAAAAAATAATCTTGACCTATTACATAGTAATAAATTATTAATATAAAAACGTATTTCTGTGTTTTCTTTTTACACATTTTGTTGAAAGGGCAAATAAAGAATTCAAACACACAAAAAAATGAATTTTCTGGTTTGTTTTATTCTTGGATCAGGCTTTAAAGGGTTAATTGGAGAACAATTTGTAATGGCAGGCTCAACTGGGACGTGACGAATTGAAAAAGTGCTGCTGATTTCGGCTGTTTTCCTGATCCGGTGTGAATGAGGCTGATGAAACTGGAGGGACAGACAGCGGATAATTAGGAGGGAGGCGGCCGGCGGCTAATTACAGGCTGCCCAGAGCAGCCAGCAGCCGCCCGCAGAGATCTGGTCCCCGTTTCCAAACGCTAAGCCCCGGTCGGACACGCCCCTGATCACCGGGAACACGGAGAAAATCTTTTTTTTTTTTTCTTCTCATTTTTTTCTTCTTCTTCTTCTCTTCTTTATTCTTTATCTTTATTTTATTTATTTTATTTTTTTCTTCTTTTTTTCCCTTTTTTCTTTTTTCTTCTGTTTTTGTTCCTTCTTCTTCTCTTCTTTTTTAATTTTTTTTAATCATTTTCTTCTTTCTTTTTTTTTTACTTTTTCTTTATTTCTTCCGCTTTTTTTCTTCTTCTTCTTTTTTTCTCTCTCTTTTTTTCTTTCTTTTTCTTTTTCCTTTTTTTTCTTCCTTGTTTTTTCTTTATCTCTCTTTTTCTTTCTTTTTTTTGTTTCTACTTCTTTTCCCTCTCCTTTTTTTTCTTTCTTTATAATTCCTTCTAATACATAAAAAGTGTCTAAACCATCAAAAGCAAATTCATGAACCTATATTATTAAGTTTGCCGAAAAAGAAAAAGTAAGATCTTTTTCTGAATTGGTTCTGAGCAAAGAGCAATTTAATTTGAGTGACCATCATTTTCCTAGATAAGATGCAATGTCCTACATATACTCAGTACCCTAAATAAGCTCATTATAACTTTCTGTTGTTGAATTTTTACATAGTTTCCATTTTCTATTTTTTTTCATGAAATTATGATAAAAAATATGTTAGAACACATTTGAATGGACTTGATTTGATAAAAAAAATCAGCGCACAGAGACAGGAAACCCTCCAGAAGCCCCCCCTGCCATCCCAAAAAATGCAGTTTGAAGCTCTGTCATGCTGAGAGGAAGCCCGATGTGAGCAAGACCTAGAGGCCAGAGACCCAGAGGCACCGTCCAGGCCTTTTCCACAAAACTAAACTAAACAAAGAACAAATGTGGCTTCAATGCATAGATGGCTTTCATGGTTAACAGTTACCTATAAACTTAATTTAAGACTTCTCCTATTTACACGAAGAGTTCAGAACAGAACAAGCTTCAAAAAGATACTGTCTTCAGAACTACTGCAGATGATATGATGAACTGACCTGTGTTTATATATATGTTGTATATTTTTACTCTTGTTTATGTTTTTATTATTTCCTACTGTGATTTTTTTAATGGTTTGTTCATAATGTAAAGTCATTTTTTCATGTGAGGACCCCAGGAAGACTAGTGGCCATTTATTTGGCAGCTAATGGGGATCCTAATAAAACTAAACTAAACTAAACTAAACTAAACTAAACTAAACTAAACTAAACTAAACTAAACTAAACTAAACCACATCCTGCATCTCCTCCAACAGCAGGTCTTCCAGGTCTGAGCTGGGACACAAAAAACAACTTCAAAGAGGACCCAGGACTGCCGAGCATCTGGAATCCCAAACCAGACCCGGATGGGATCCCGTTCCTCTCCCAAAAGACCCCGCAGCTGGTCTGCTCCGGTCCAGATGTTGACAGATGTTTGTTAAGGAAACCGGGATGCGACACGGTGGAAAACACGGCCCTGCGTTTCATCTTTCTTCCATCTTCCATTTAATATGTTCTTTTTAACATTGTAATTTTGGTTTTGCAAAAGCACTGGAGCTGTAACAAACATATTGCTTTTTCCTTTGTTCCTGCTTTTAACTGTGTTTTAACATTTAAAAAAAAAAATTCTTTGTTTGTTTGTTTGTTTTTTTGAATGCTGTTTTATGCTGTTCTTTTTTATTTAAAATGTCTTGTCTTAATGTAATGCACATTGAGTTGCCGCTTGGTATGAATTGCGCTATATAAATTGCCATCAAATTACAGATGGGCTAGTTCATTTGTTCGATTTTCATTCGCTTTCAATGATTATTATAAATTATGTGCTGAAGTTTGTCTTTTCCCCTGTAATATTTTTAAGAAATGATGGAATAAAATCCGTAAATAAAGCATGTGGTCCTGAAACAGTCCAGCTCGTTTACCTCTACAGCACCTTTTACAACTAATGATCACAGAATCATAAAAACCCAGAGGACCGGTGGAGTATTTTAGGGAGAAACTCTAAAGATTAAATAAGTATAAGTATCAAAGGGTGTCCATTTTTAAGCATCCTGGGTAGGAACATCAGCCTCTCAAACATTCCAGAAACATTTCAGGTGTCAAAACATCTATAACACCCAGGAACAAAAAGTAGATGGATCAAAATATTTAAACAATCCGGATTAATTCATTTTTCTCTGTTAAATCATAATCATATGTATAGCAGGCAAACATCAGGGGTACCATATGTTGTAAGTGGGATTTTGATTTTCTGATCGAAATCTAACGAAGAACAGTTCAGATTTGACAGATATTCCTTTGTTTACCTTTTTTTTTTATGAAAAAAGTCGCTTCTTTTCTGGAAACCAAACTAAGACCAAAGGTCACAGACTACAAAAACCAGATGTGATCAAAACATTCGAATCCGGAAGCTAAACGGAAGAAAAGAATACGAAAAAAAAACAAGAGACCAGTAACTCCAGAAAGCAAGGACCAAAACGAGGAACCAGAAATCAGACAAAAACGCTGAAAAATGCCGAACCGACGCAAGATTCTGAAAAAATAAAATCAACTAAACCAAACAACCAATTTATGTTTGATCCCTCTCCCCAAAAAGCTAATGCTAATGCTAACGCCTCATCCTACCTGCACGACTTTCCCCTGAGGGCTCTCGGAGAAGACCAGGACCTGGTTGTAGAGTGGATCCAGACACTTTCTCACCGTCTTGGTCTTCTTCTTGGCCACGCAGATCCCGTTCTCCAGGAGATAGACTTTGATGTACGCCGCTGGAATAAAGGCAGAAAAAATTATCACCTCTCTGAAATCTGGATAGAGTTTATCTGAAAGAAACAGGCTTGAAACTTTCCTCTGTGATAAAAGCTGATAGCTAACCCTGTAATGCCAAATGTATCATATTTGACGCGTACCGTTTCTGAAATGTTTTGCGTCTGACACTTTTTGCATCATTTAATGGTAAAAACTTTGCTCAAAATCCTATTGTACACAATCAGAAAACACAAAAAAATAATCTTGACTTACCACATAGTAATAAATTATTAATATTAAAAATGTATTTTTGTTTTTTCTTTTTACATATTTTGTTAAAAGGCCAAATAAAGACTTAAAACCAAAAAAAAAGTAATTTTCTGTTTTGTTTTATTCTCGGATCAAACTTTAAAGGGTTAGGGGTTGGTTCTGACACCCATCATGCACCTGTCCTCCCTCGGCTGTATTTCCTCTCTATGTCCATGTGACATCATAGTGTCTTTAACATGTATTTCTGTCTCTGGCCAGGTCACTGTGCTGGTTCTCCTATCAACCCCCAGCTGGGCCACAAAGAAGGCCCAGTTTCTGTTTCTGGTTCTGACCGTTCTCCTTCCTGTTAAAGGTGAGGTTTTTCTTTCCACGGACGCCTTGTGCTTGTTCTTCATAAGGGATTCCAGAGGAGTTTTAGGGCAAAGTGCTGGTTTCCATCACTTTTTTCATCCGTTTTTCTAAGGGCTCAGTGCGAATTGGACCAATTGGAAAATGAATGACCTAAATGTATTTAATTTTGTATCCATATATTTGATTTTAATCGAGTTTCGTGATTATATTTGTTGCGTTTTGGCATTTTTTGTAAATCAAACTGTGTATTTTACTGAGTTTCATGGGGATAATCGTACCTGGAGGTCCTTTTGAACCGGGTTTCATTGTGAGTCCTCTGGCCTGGACCACCTCCACCTCCAGCGCTCCGTTTCTCTCCATCAAACCGATCTCTACATCCCCTGGAAGGGTCAAAAGAGGAGTGAATTAAACCGAGAAGTCGGTGAGAAGTGCATCCTTCCCTGTTTTAGTCATGAAGCGGTGGATCTGAAAATAATTGATTTGTTCAATTAATTACAAACCTTAGGTTTGATATTCAGTTATAGCTAATTACAGATAATTAGCCTTTTGTTTAGTGGCAAAAGCCTTCAAATAAACCCACATGAAATGGACAGAAACATTATCAGATAAGTTGTAAAGAAATGTAGCATACACCAAAACAAGTTAGCCAAAAGTATTCTGCAGTTTTTTTCTGTAGTCCAAATCACAACTAATGAGATTAGTGGCCTTCAAGTGGAAAGAGAAGAATGACTTAAGTTCTCTCACGAAATTGTAAAACTAGGTTGAATCTAAACGCCCCAAAAAGTGACAAAGACACCATCTGAAAGTGACTTAGCACAGATGACGGCCGGGTTATTCTGGGTTCTACAGCGTTATATAACGGTCGGAGTGGAGCCGGTCCAGTTTGTGTCACTGTAGTCGGTCCAAGGACACCGCCGGGCTGCCAGGGAGAGGACTGACCCACTTCCTGCAGATCGCTGCTGTGGAGGACGCTCTACACGCCATATTTCCAGAATTTATACCGACAGGAGACGAGCGAATGCGGGAAATGAGAACATCGATGGACCCAAACGTAGTTCTCATGTATAGGCAGAGATGTTTAAAGTACTGGAGTAGAGGAGTGGAGTAGAAGTACAAGTACTATGTAAAAAAATTTACTTGAGTAAAAGTAGAAGTATTCTTTCAACACCATACTTAAGTGGAAGTACGGAAGTACTCAATTTTCTTTGTACTTAAGTATTGCAAGTAGAAGTATTTCAAAAATTGCTACTCAAGTATTGAAAGTACAAGTATAAGTAAAAGTACAAGTACTGTGTATATTAAAAAAAGGCAGTCAAAAATGTAATAGATATTGTTTATATTATTTCAAACGTGTGAAAGGCCATACAGGTGTCTACAAAAAACAGAAAACTACATCTGCATTAGCAATCAACAGCACTTCATCTACTATTATTTATTATTCCAGAGTCAGAATCATGAGCTGAGCCTTTATGCTAGCATGTAGCATACAGCTAGCCAGCTAGGTTAGCTTTAGCTAACGTTATCATACAGCTAGCCAGCTATAGGTTACCCATAAATGACTGTAAAGCTTTGGTTCAGTGTATTTCTTAAGGTTTACGCCTCGTTTTTGAGGGATAAATGTTACTAAATGTGCAGCCAGATTTAGTTATAAACACTAAATCTCATTGTACGCATGTATAATGAGGATAAAGGCTTTCAATTCAATTCAACAAATGACCAGCTTGCTATAATAAGCTTGAATTTGTCAAGGAACATTTGAATTCTTAAGGCCAAAATATGTGATCTAGTTTGTGCTGATACAGTGGGGGAAATAAGTATTTGACCCCTTGCTGATTTTGCAGGTTTGCCCACTTACAAAGAATGCAACGATCTATAACTTTAATCATACGTACATTCTAACAGTGAAAGACAGAATCCCAAAGAAAATTCCAGAAAATCACATCACATGAATTTTATAAAAATGGATAACCATCTGATGAGGAAAAACAAACATTCTTTGTAAGTGGGCAAAGCTGCAAAATCAGCAAGGGGTCAAATACTTATTTCCCCCACTGTAGATGACCAACTGAGTATTGTCAGGCTTTAAAAACGACCCTAAATGAAATCACTAACGAACGGTTAAGCTGACTCTGGCCTGAGCGAGTGACATCATCGATTCCACGGCCAGTGAGGGAGCTGGATTAGCAAAAGAGTTGTAATCTCACCCATGGAGGTTGTGGCCAGCGTCTGCCGGCCGACGAACTGAGCCGGTCCCATCCCGTCCAGGAAGTCGCTGAACTGAGCGTCCGATGCCAGACACATGCCGCTGTAGTTCAGACTGAGGAGGGGAAGAGACACACAAAGACACCTGATTAGGCCAAAATCGATTTACCTGATTTAAAAAGGGAGGAATGTGTGAATCACGAGTTAAAGAGGTGGGAAACAGAACTGACACAAGCAGAGAAATGGAAAGAAAACTTAGGTACAGACAAAAAAATAATGGATAAAAACTAAATAAAATAACTGTACTGATAAAACATTTTCTAGTCAGGTTTAAACTTGGTTAACCCTTTAAAGCCTGATCCAAGAATAAAATAAAGCAGAATATATATATTTTTTTGGTTTGAAGTCTTTATTTGGTCTTTTAACAAAATATGTAAAAAGAAAAAACAGAAATACATTTTTGATATTAATAATTTATTACTATGCGATAAATCAAGATTATTTTTTGTGTAATCTTCTGCCCCCTGTTATCAGGTATATCTGATTGTGTACAATAGGATTTTGAGCAAAGTTTTTACCATTAAATTATGCTAAAGGTGTCAGACGCAAAACATTTCAGAAACCGTATAGATCAAATATGATACATTTGGCATTATAGGGTTAAATGAACAAATATAAAGAAGACACCTGAACCTAAACTTGCTGATGATTCTTGAGTTTGAACCCATGTGTGCTCATCTTGTGTTTATAGGAAAGGATCATAGTTCTTTGGTGGCAGACGGCCAGGATCTGATGCCACGCGCTCATCTGTGTGTTTTCTGGTCTAAAAACGTCTGACTGAGTTACAAACGCAGAACCAAACACTGCCGTCCAGTTTATGACAAACAATGCAAAATGTAAATCACCATTTGGGTTCAAATTTAAAGATTTCGAGTGGTCTACCAATGCCATATGGTTAAATTAAAAGTGGAAATACAATCTATGGTTTATTTTTAGCTGTAAATGTGACCAAAATAATATTTATACCAAAAAATAGTGAATCAAATTCAGTGCCAAATGCTAACAAATGGATTTCTCTGTCATATTTTGTTGTACATTTATTCTAAAGAAATCTGCATTTGATTAATTAGGATAGTGGAACAAAAATAGATCAGTTTGCCTAGCTTAACAAGCTAGCCAAACGATGCTAACCATTTAATGTTCAGCTTTTGTTAAAACCTAATATTTTAGATTAGGCATTAAATGCACTAAGCAATGCTATTGGCAGCATTTTAGGCTGATCAGTGTTTGTTTTTAGCACGCTTTAGTTCCAGATCCAGCCGTTTGTAACTAAAGGTCATGCGTTTTCCTTCTGTTTGACATCCGCCGTGTTTAACTATCTCATTCTGGCCCCCGATGAGTTCTGGCTGCTCAAATCTGCATGGAGCCGGCGTTATTTCTTAATCTAACTGACAAAATGACGGAGAAAATGATTTGTCCCGTAACAGAAAGCTGCACAGACTATTAATTCAGTCACAGTTATTCCAACACCATTAACAAGACCTCAGAATCGTCACCTTATTTATGCAGATGTTCTAAAAAGCTCATTTACACACTTTTACTGTTTAGCCTGGTTTTAATGGTCTATATTTCTTTTAAATGGTCCTCAAACATAAATATTAGATATAGCTAAAATATGCATCAGTGGAGACTTATGAGGTAAACACGGAAAACAGGGAAACCGTAAGTCAGACGTTAGCCGAGTGGGTATTACTGGGTGATAAAATCCCGAGCTTTAGCTCATCGTGTTAGTGTGCAGAGCACATCTGGGGATTATCCAGCTGCCACAAAGCACGACCATCAACAGGTTTCAGAGAGAGGTGGAAAAAGACTTCTGTTTATAGTGGAAATAGATTTCTGTTTATAGTAGAAACAGGTTTCAGTTTATAGTGGAAACAGGTTTAATTTTATAGTGGAAACAGGTTTCAGTTTATATTGGAAACAGGTTTAATTTTATAGTGAAAACAGGTTTCAGTTTATATTGGAAACAGGTTTAATTTTATATTGAAAACAGGCTTTAGTTTGAGTGGTAACAGGTTTCATTTTATAGTGGAAACAGGTTTCAGTTTAAAGAGGAAACAGGCTTTAGTTTGAGTGGTAACAGGTTTAATTTTATAGTGGAAACAGGTTTCAGTTTATAGTGGAAACAAGTTTCAGTTTATAGTGGAAATAGGTTTCACTCTGAGTGGAAACAGGTTTCAGTTTGAGTGGAAACAGGTTTCAGTTTATAGTGGAAACAGGTTTCAGTTTATAGTGGAAACAGGTTTCAGTTTGAGTGGAAACAGGTTTTAGTTTATAATGGAAACAGGTTTTAGTTTAGGGTTTAAACAGGTTTTAGTTTAAGGTTTAAACATGTTTCAGTTTATAGTGGAAACAGGTTTCAGTTTTTAGGTTTAAACATGTTTCAGTTTATAGTGGAAACAGGTTTTAGTTTAAGGTTTAAACAGGTTTCAGTTTGAGTGGAAACAGGTTTCAGTTTGAGGTAGAAACACGTTTTAGTTTAAGGTTTAAACAGGTTTTAGTTTAAGGTTTAAACATGTTTCAGTTTATAGTGGAAACAGGTTTCAGTTTATAGTGGAAACAGGTTTCAGTTTTAGTGGAAACAGGTTTCAGTTTAAAGTGGAAACAGGTTTAATTTTACAGTGGAAACAGGTTTCAGTTTGAGGTTTAAACCTGTTTCAGTTTATAGTGGAAACAAGTTTCAGTGGAAACAGGTTTCAGTTTGAGAGGAAAAAGGTTTCAGTTTATAGTAGAAAGAGGTTTCAGTTCAGGTGGAAACAGGTTTTAGTTTATATTGGGAACAGTTTTCAGTTTGAGGAATAACAGGTTTCAGTTTATAGTGGAAACAGGTTTCAGTTTATAGTAGAAAGAGGTTTCAGTTCAGGTGGAAACAGGTTTTAGTTTATATTGGGAACAGTTTTCAGTTTGAGGAATAAACAGGTTTCAGTTTATAGTGGAAACAGGTTTCAGTTTTAAGAGGAAATGAATTTCAATTTTAGGAGGAAATATTTTTCAATATTAGGAGTAAAACAGGTTTCAGTTTTAGGAAGAAACAGTTTTTCATTTTATAAGGTTTAAGTGTCTTTTAGCAGATTGGACTTTCCCAAACATATTTAGAGGATTTTCTCCTGCGGCCTGAACTACGTCCCAGTATATTGCAAAGTGTTTGGGGTCTTTTTTTGGAGCAGGTTTTGTTCCAGCAACTGGATCCTGAACCCCCCGAACCAGAACTGAACCAGAACCAAACCAGAACCGAACCAGAACCGAACCAGAACCGAACCAGAACCGAACCAGAACCGAACCAGAACCGAACCAGAACCGTAGGAGCGTTTGGCTGATGTGATGCTAACAAAGTGCTTATTCACGGTGGGAGTGGAGCTTTTTCAATCAGCCGGTGGAGCCAAACGGCTAACGGAAACACAGGAAGACGAGCTGCTGGTTTAAATGACACAGCAGAGTCTTAATGGTTCAGCTGTAAACCCCCCCACCCCCCCCCCCACCCCCCCTCCATAATGAGAGCAGCTCCGAGCATGCACAGATATAAACCACTTAGCTCCACTGATTGCTTTATTTGACAGAACCATTTTCTGCATAGCTCACACACTTCGGATAATTTAAAAGTGATGAACGCGGACCAAACGAAACAAGAGGAAACTCTGCGTCAGGAAATCTGAACCGGAAAAGAAACACACCAACGGCCCGTGAGCCCTTTAAAGCCTGATCCGAGAAAAATAGGAAGAATATTGGAATTTTTTTTTAGTCTGAAGTCTTTCTTTGGCCCCTCAACAAAATATGAAGAAAAAAAAACAGAAATTATTTTTGATCAAATTAGCGTGCAATAAGTCAAAAATATATTTTGGTGTAGTCTTCTACTGGCTGTTATCAGGTACAGTAGAGGAAATAAGTATTTGACCCCTTGCTGATTTTGCAGGTTTGCCCACTTACAAAGAATGCAACGATCTATAACGTTAATCATTTGTACATTCTAACAGTGAAAGACAGAATCCCGAAGAAAATTCCAGAAAATCACATCATATGAATTTATAAAAATTGATAACCATCTGATGAGGAAAATTAAGCATTCTTTGTAAGTGGGCAAACCTGCAAAATCAGAAAGGGGTCAAATACTTATATCTGAATGTGTACAACAGGGGTTTGATTAAAGCTTTTACCACTAAATGATGCGAAAAGTCTCAGATCCAAAAGACTTCAGAAACCGTACGTATCAAATATGATATATTTGGCATTATAGGGTTAAAAGATCAACCGAACAACCATGGAAGTCTGAGTCTGGATGGAGATTGGCCAGAAAGGCTCTGAGACCTGGTCCGCAGTAAAAACGTATCCATCACGTCTCCCCGTGGGTGGGGGGGGGGGGGGTTTCCGACGCGTTCATAAATCAAAAGGCGAGCTCCGTCCACTCCTGTGAGCGGCGGCCTCTGTTTTATGATGACTTCACAGCACCCCCGGAGCCAATAAATACACACCGCTAATGAAGAACTCCGTTTGCCCGCTGGAAGCTTTTCCTTTACGGAGAGAAATGATCCTGTGGGTCTGTTTGCGGCAGCCAGAGCAGAATAGGTACCGAAACGCCCCGAAACGGGGCTTTTGAAGTGTTTCCTTAAGTGTTGACGGTGCTAAAAATGGATGACTGCTCACTCAATTAAAGGCAAAAATATCAAATAAAGCTTCATTCCCAGAAAGTGACGGATGTTCAAGCTAAAGTTTCAAGCATGTGGTTGTCTCTTTAGCTTTTTTAGCTCTTTTCCAATCTGCCAATGTATGAATTAGATGAATTTAGGAGAAATATTGTATAAAAAACAGCATAATAGATTTTAAATAGATTACGTATTAAGAAAGTAAATGTAAAAATACTTTATTTGTAGGATTACGATAGATAGATAGATAGATAGATAGATAGATAGATAGATAGATAGATAGATAGATAGATAGATAGATAGATAGGTGGTGTTTTTGCACAGACTTTGCTCTGTTTCCTGTTTCTCTCCCTTCTTTTGCCTCATCATTATTTCCCTTGAGTTTGCCTCTGTTCGCAATATTATGCATAAATCTGACCTCTCTCTAATTAAGGCTTCAGTAAGTACTGGAATTTACATTAAAAAAAAAAAACCCTGACCTTTAAACGCATTCACCCCTATTTGGATATGAAAATGATTTCTCTCCTGCAAACCGCAGGATAAACAAGTCGAGCTCTTAAAAAATAAACCGAACCAAACTCCGACCTTAAGGCCTAATCTCATACATATTTAGGAAAACGGGACACGGGATTTGCATGCAAACGCACAATCGTCCACTCCCACTTTCTACCTTTTGCCGACCCGTCCCTCTGCTCCTCTCTAAGCCTTCAAAGTCCACATAAGACTGTCTCTCTCCTTTGTTTTGTTACGTAAGGGGATGGATTGGAGCGGGTTGCCAGGTTGGCACAGATCCGTGTGCACGTACGTGCAAGCATTACTGTAATATCTATGATGTCATGCTGCTCTGACCCAATGCTCTCTGGCCACAAAACCCCCCCCCCGGCTGGCTTTTCCAGGCAGAATCTGGACGGCAAGAGACGGGAATTGGGAGAAAAAATGGCGTCGGAAGGAAGGAAGAAGTAAATATTCCCCAAAACGCCAAACGACGTCCGTCCAAAAAACCGGAGGCGAATTTCCTTTGATCCGATGATGTGCAAACCGCACTGACCTCTTTGGCCCTTTCGCTTCGGATACTAAGTCTTGTTATTCCATAGTTATATCATATTTTAATCCTAAACCAGCATGTTATACGTTACAGATTAATTTAGAGAGCCTTCCAGCACAATGACGACGGCGGACAGCAGTTTAGCGGCAGAGAAAAGCTCCCGAAAACATCAGATTCGGCCTCAAACTCAGATCCAAACCAGAGGGTTCTTAGCAGACCTTTAAGAGCACATTTTAAAATAAAGAAAAAGAAAATAACTGTGAGCTGACTTCATAATATCACTGAGACACTGTGAGCCAAAATGCTCATAAGGACATTTTTACTCAACAGTGGCTGCAAAAGCTCACGTTTCCAGGCCTTAAAAACGCTGGAATTGGGCTGGAATTGGTTCAGGTGATGTCAAATAGATGCTGTTTTTTTAATTTTTTGACAAACTATTGGAAACCTGCTGCATTATAAGCCTAATCAACTCTTTCTGTGACATGAACCAGGAGAAGGAAGTCAAATTTACCAAGGTATTTATGTTCAGATCCCAAAACCCCCAAAAGGGGGGACCTAAAAACCATTTTAGCCCACAGGTGGGCCTTAAGTTTCCCCGATTGATCAAGATGGAGAGACGACACTGTGGGGGAAATCAGATTTATGAAGTTTCTTTTTCATACAAACAACAATTTCATCCAAGTTGTGACAAGAGGTTCAAGAAGATTTTCTGTAGCGTCAAAGATAAAATATGTATGATCATTTTCTTTTCTATTCTTCTTTTATCTTCTATTTCTTTTCTATTTTATTCTCTCTAGTAAATTTCCACCATCGAGTATTTTAACCCTATAATGCCAAATGTATCATATTTGATAGATACGGTTTCTGAAATGTTTTGCGTCTGACTCCTTTTGCATAATTTAATGGTAAAAACTTTGCTCAAAATCCTATTTTACTCAATCAGATACACCTGATAACAGGGGGCAGAAGACTACACAAAAATAATCTTGACTTATCGCATAGTAATAAATTATTTATATTAAAAATGTATTTTTGTTTTTTCTTTTTACACATATTTTTTTTAAAAGCCAAATAAGGAATTAAAAAAAAAAAAAAGTGATTTTCTGTTTTTTTTATTCTTGGATCAGGCTTTAAAGGGTTAAAGGTCCTTTCCTTCTTCAAAGACTCATATTATATTATTATATTTTGTCTAATTCTTGAGGATTGTTTGATACAGGTGCAGAATGAAGGGCAGATTTTAGGTCTCATTTCAGACTCAAACTGGTATAAAATGCACTATGATTTTGTTTGACTGGTTTAGCTGGTTGCTTTCACTTCATGAAGTTTTCCCTTTAATACATTTTCTATCTCTTATTATCTTAAACGGACTCAGACTTTTGCTTCAGAATTTCCACAACACTGACACAACATAACTCTGGGCTTTGTGTTGCACGGGAAAATTCAATTCAATTCAATTCAATTTTATTTATATAACGCCACATCACAACAACAGTTGTCTCACAGCGCTTTCCAAACAGAGCAGGTCAGACCCTACTCTTAAGTTAATTACAGAAACCCAACAATTCCCACCATGAGCAAGCACTGGGCGACACAGGCAAGGAAAAACTTCCTTTTAACAGGCAGAAAACCTCGAGCAGAACCATGGCTCAGGGTGGGCGGCTGGGTGAGGGAGAGAGGGCGAGAGAAGGACAGAGGGAGCAGAGAGAGGCAGCCAACACAGCAACACGTAGACTAGATGAAAAATGACTATGATATTAATACTAATGTTGATGGTACAAGTTATGACAGCAACAGAGCAGGAACACAGGGGCAGCAGGAAACTCCCAACCACAGATCCAGACTCCACAGCTCCAGAGCCAGGAATATCAGGGGTTTTTTTTGTACTCACTTCCCTTCGGAGCCGTAGCTGTTCATGCTGTCCTCTATGGACTCGTGGCTGGCCTGCCGGACCGTCCGGCTGGGCATCTCCACGGCCAGACCCGTCTCCGTGCTCCTCTGGATGCCGCCTTTCAGCTTCCTGCCTTCCGTGTCCACTGTTAGGAGACACACGCAAATCCCGATTAAAAATATAGCACTCGGCCTGAGAAGGAGACGGACTCGAACGCGACACAAAAATGCTCAAAACGGCCTGCTGGCCTCCATCCATCATCCATGCTGATGTCTTACATGATGAATGAGTTTAATATGGTTGGAAAAATGTGGAAAAAGCTCAAATGTTTTCTCTGGGAACTTGTAACTGAGCCATTAGAGCTGATAACTGTCAAAGGGCGGAGACGAGAAATCGCTTTGACAAGGCAAGAGCCCTCCGTTCCTCCTTACATGCATATTATCGTAAAACAGACCACAAAATCGACGTGTGGTCCTCGAGGTGCCCGGTGTGTTTGCATGTGGCTGAGCTTTTAACCCTTTAAAGCCTGATCCAAGAATAAAACAAAACAGAAAATTATTATTTTTTGGTTTGAATTCCTTATTTGGCCTTTTAACAAAATATGTAAAAAGAAAAAACAAAAATACCTTTCTAATATTAATAATTTATTACTATGCGATAAGTCAAGATTATTTTTTGGTGTTTTCTGATTGTGTACAATAGGATTTTGAGCAACGTTTTTACCATTAAATTATGCAAAAGGTGTCAGACGCAAAACATTTCAGAAACCGTATGTATCAAATATGATACATTTGGCATTATAGGGTGAACAGGCTGCTAAAACAGAAGGTATTTATCTTGTTTTTTTGTGTTTTTTTGGGAAAGGACAGTCTAAATCTTTAGGTCTTAGAAGTGAGGTACCTATAACACACACCTGTTTGTAAAACTCAAACTGGGTTAAATTCTACCACAAAGGTGGATGCAGGAGCCCTCTGCGCGGCAAAGCTGCAAAGTTAGTTCTGAAATTATTAAAGGGTGACCTAGAACGGTGCTATTTCTATCGCGCTCATGTGGAACGGGACGCTGGCAGATTTGGGTTACGGCTCCTTCCTCCTGACCGCCTCCATCTGACCGCTTTTCTCCCGTCTCGGCCCACAGGAACACAAAGTCTGGATAATAGCTAGAAAAAGAAGTGAGCAGAAAACAGGTCGAACGGGCTTTATTTGATCGGATGCTAAGCAGACATGTAAAGCTGTGGAAACTAGCTAATTCAGTCAGGTGGGACACAGAGTGACCGACTCCTGACCAAATCCCTGTTAGTCTTTTTGACCTGACATCACTCTTTAGCCTCTGTGTGTGAGTAGAAACTAGCAACTCCAGTCACTAAGGAAGGAAACCTTTTGATTTCAATGTTTTTCTCTTTTTTTAAAAATGTAATAGCACAATATTTAAGCTAAAGTAGCGATTACAGTTGGAAAATTAACTATGAAATGAGGCATTGATCATTTCTCTGGGTGGGAATCCTTTAGGATAAAGTGCTTTGGGAGAATGGAATCCTTAATTGGCCCCTGCTGGACTTCTACAAACCCATTGATCAGATTTCCAGGGAGCCTGACATCGTTTGTAGCTAGCAAGCAACTGGAAGCGATTCTCCTCCAAAAGTCTGAACCGTTTGAACCAGAAAAGCAACTGCGTGTCTAGATAGAAATAAAACACGGAGGAATATGGTGTAATCTGCCTAGCAACATAAATTACCATTAAAAAAAGGTATAAAAGACCATTTTCCAATGGCCTCAGTGTGCATGACTCTGCTAATAACTGACCCCTGATACAATATTCTGAATATATAACCATGAAGTTAAGACCTCGTGACCAAAAACCTGAAAAGTCTCCACCTAAAGCGACGCCGATGAGGGTTTGTTGTGTAGAGAGTGATAAATGAGTGATTTTGGGCACAGCTTGTGTCATTAGCTGTGACATACACGGTTGCCATGGACGTGGAAGCTGTAACCATGGAGATCACAGCTGCGCCCAGGAAAGCAACGAGGATGCTCTGTGAGTTTAAACACACGGGCCTGTTGGCTTTTTTCTGTCCTCTGCATGAGAGGGCTTGTTGGGAGCCCAAAAAAAACAACAAAATAAAGAACTAGCATCCAGGAAAATTCACCTTCTTAACTCATTGGCTGCCAAAGACGTCTATAGAAGTCTTTTATGTTTTTCAACACGAGTGGCTGGGGGACGATCTGCTAAAGCTTGTCCGTAAATATCAGGCTTCTAGACAGAGTATGTAGTAACAAATTGACCCTCTAGGTGGCAGTGCCACTTTTGATTGGAGATGAGCATAGACTGTAGGCAAATAAGAAAAAGGTAACGGTTCGCTATGAGAGAACATGTCGCCGGTGAGACGCAAGTCGAGGAAGAACGGAATAAGGTAGAAACAAAAAAAATTTTCCTGATGAAAGAAGAGAGTCTACTCTTTCTTTTGGTGTGTTCGGTGTTTACATAGTCATAGCACAAACTATTCTGTGGCTCTTGAAAAATCAGTCAAAATGCTCAAAAAACTCTGGCAGTATGGGACTCTGTTCTGAAAATGGCTGGTAGTCAATGAGTTGAAGGGGAAAAGGTTGGGTCCAATGGGAATGAGGTCAGATTGGGTAAACAAATGGTGGTTCACTAATTTAGGAAGAATGGGGGCGCTTAGATGTTACTACAGAGAAAAGAAAGAAACATCAAGCTCTAATTTGAACTCCTTGTAAGTCAGCAAGCCTTATTCAGAGCAGAGTGAGAAGCAATCCAACCGGCCTATCAGAAGACGGATGATCTGGATTTCTTATTGGTGTCTCAGCCCATAATGCTTTCTCTACTCATCTGTCCTCATTTCTGAGCTTAAATCTGTACTTACACTTCCACGTAGTTGCTCTGCTTATCATTAAGTCGCCGGTAAAGTTCACAGAACGAGTCGTTTCAGAGGACTCACTCACAGATTCCTCTGAGAGTTTGTCCCGTTCAAAAGCCTTCAAGATTCAAAGGTAAGAGGCTTCTCTTTCTTTTTGAAGATGGCCGGCTGTGAATAGTCAAGATGTTGTCACCCTCACACAAATATGCCTGAATTCTTGGACTTTCTATCCACTGAGACCAAAAAGACACACTTTCTCTGGATGGTTCACTACTGTTCTTTGTTTTTTTTTTCATTTTGTATTGATCATATTTCTTCAGTTTTGCTTTTCTTTACTTAGTTGGGAAAGATGGATCGAATTTATGGGGGTCAGGCTGTCTAGTTTGTGGCCTAGCTGCTTTTCTTTTGAAGGATTCTGTCCATCTAAATTACTCTGTAAATCTGTCAAACACACTGGAGAGAATAAGGTTAAGGCCCAAATGTTTTTATGTTCTGTAAGTTATTGTCTTTTTCAGGGTCTCATAATTGCCACCATGATGTTTCTAATCTACTTTTTTTCGGTTAAAAAAAGGCAAAAGCTTCTGGCAACCTTAGAGATTTTAAACGAAACTCTTTAACCTGTTGATTAATGTTTAAATTCAATTATTATTTAGCCATCAGGGAAGTTAGTCTCACCCTCAATTACGTCCATTTGGACATTGATTGTTAACCAAGCTGTTATTTTCAGTTCGGACACATTTAATTAGAGGGAATGAGTTCTCAAAAAATTAGTCAAACCCTTTGAAATAAGCAGTAAGTACACTAAAACTGTTTTTTTGTCTGTCACAGATGTTTACAGATGTGAGGGAACATCTGGTATGAAAGCCTCAACACACCACTGTCCACCTTCTCACCAGCTGTTGTTTTGGTTGTTTTTTTTACATTTTTCTCCAGATGTTGAAAGTAATTTGGCATTTTTTAAACATCTGCCCAGACATCATCAGAGGTGTCAGACACCGTGCATCATTTCCACCAGACGTGTGTGTGTGTGTGTGTGTGTGTGTTGGTATTTTCCGCCCACAGGTGAGCGACAAACATCCCTTAGCTCATCAGACTGGTTCGGGCCCGTCTTTGCCGTGCTTCCCGAAAAGAAACAGAACATTAAACCGGAGCTTTAATGAAATGAGAAGCTACAGAAATAACTGCTCCTCATTCAGCCAAAATGGCCACCAGAAGCTAGAGGTGGATCACAAATTTACCTCAGATTACCTGAAAGACAGAGACTTGTGCAGGAGGCCCATATCAGCTGAACCGTGGCACTTCGTCTAGACATCATTTTAACCCTATAATACCAAATGTATCATATCTGATTCATACGGTTTCTGAAGTCTTTTGGATCTGAGACATTTTGCATCATTCAGTGGTAAAAAGCTTTGCTCAAACCCCTGTTGTTCACATTCAGATATACCTGATAACAGCCAGGAGAAGACTACACCAAAATATATTTTTAACTTATCGCACGCTAATTTTCTTCCTATTTTTCTTGGATCCGGCTTTAAAGGGTTAAGGTTAGATCAATAAAAAAGTTGAATTTCAACAACAACAAAAAAAGCGTTGTTGTTAACGTTTGGACCTCTTCGAACATCTTTACTTCCTGTAAACGTTCCGTAATAAAACAGAGGCCGGCTCATTACGGAAAGAGAACATTTGGCCGGAGTTTGCTGGTCGTAGAGAGAGAAGATCCTGGAAGGCACCGGAGGGACTGCATTTATTTTAAATATCTGTAAAAAACCTTCTCCTGTTGGAGGCTTTACAGATGACTAAGGCTGGAGATGAATAAGGAGCTGCTTTTTAAACCTCTTGGCAGCGTGTTTTAGGGGCCGAGCTGGAGGACGGCATCAGAGTTAATTAGCTTATTGTAGATAAGCTTTTTATTTTCCATCCATCTCCAAATTGATGGTTCTGCTGAGTGTGCTGATCAGCTGTGTTGAACACCTGGGAGCTGCATGGGTTCCCGGGTTTGAATGCTAATATTAATAGCGCTTCCAACTCTAACCAGCAATAACCTCAACTTTCTGATCCAAAGTCGCTAATAAAAAACCAAAAGAATGAAACAAAATTGGTAAAATAAAGGGCGTAAAAGTCTATTCATTCACCCAAAGGCAGGAACCAAAGAAACTGTCTACGGCCAAACTGTGGATGCAAAAAAAGGCAGTTTTTTTTAATGATAAATGTTTAAATGTCTGGTTTAATAGGTCAACCCGACAGGGGGCAAAAGTCTAAATGTAGCCTGAGGTTTTTGGGCCGGGGGGGGGGTAACCGGCTCAGCCCTTTTCTTCCATCCCTGAGGCCCTGCTTGTGGCAGGACGCATACTAGGGTGGAAAAATCATGCCTTATTCATCTATAAGCGTTTAAACAAGTCCGGCGTGTGTCATCCTCGTACATGTTTACATTTCTGTTCATGTTTCTGCATTTAGGGGACTTACGATGCAGATACAGCATCACAGTTAGCATCAAAGCTAACAGTATGCTACATAAAAGGACAGGAAGTACAGTACTTCCTGATGCACCCAGAATCCTCTATGAACTAATTCACTGTTTGAAATGAGTTTGCAACTGAAATGTTTGGTTATTTTATTTTTTCAAATCATTTTTATTGAAACAAATGATAAGATAATACCAATAAGGAATACAGTTCACTTTTTTTTCCTTTTTTTTTTGGAAAAACATATACTTGTGCAGGTGTAACTTTTAATATGTTTGGTTATTTTTGACAAGTTCGGCTAGTTTGGGTTTAAATTATTCAAGTAAAATTCAAACTTTGGCTCCTAAAAGGATCAGAATGCAGGATCCAGGCTGCTGATTGGTTAATATCCAAACCAACACTCCATTGTTAGAAAAACCCTTCATCTTGGAACTTTCTCCCCTCCATAACACATCTCTGAAAGTGCCTTTCTCTTAAGAGCAGCCTCTTCAGACCGTGATGGGACTAATCTGCATCCGACACATTAACTCTGACAACATTCATATAAAAACGCGTTTACAGGCCGGGGCCAGTCTGGCCTCAGTGCTCCGTCCTGCCTGCCGGACGCAGTGACTGGACACTTTTACCGCCGCTGCAGGGGGAGTAAATCACTTCTCCAAATGGGCCAAATGGGCGGCCGCTCCCGGAGAGACACATTTTACGTCGTTTTGGCCCTGATATTTGAAAAAGAGCTAAACGAAAGGATAAAAAGCTCCTCTGTTTGCTCTTTCCCTCACGCACACCCACAGTTTCTCTATCCTGTGTGTGTGTGTGAGACCTAGTGGGAAAAATTGAAAACTCAATCTTTCTAAGTAGCTCAGAACTACTGGTCCTCAGTTTGTGAGTCCTTTTACGTGGTCCTCATTCTGGTGTGCTTACAAGAATGTGTGTGGGTGTGTGTGTGTGTGTATGTGTGTTTTTCTCTTCCATTCAAGGTCGGTATCGAGACCGCGGGGCAGTCCAAATGAATACCAGGTCCAGAGTGGAAGGTTTAAGCAAGGACTTTTTGGAAATGAGTAAAAAATGTCTGAGCAAGGACTTTTGGAAATGAAAAGTCCGCTCTGATGACCTAAGTATTACAAAGACTCAATGACATTTGAGAAAAAGCCCTCCACCAGAGCCAGGAAAATCCACGGTGGACTGGTTTCACGGAGACAGTAAAGGCCATTTTTAATGACACGTTTGGGGCTTTTCACAAGGTAAAGATCGGGATTCTGACGGGTCTGAAAATGGCAGAAAACGGCAGAAATGCAGTGGATATCTACAGATATATACATATTTTGTTTTTAATAAAAGAGCTGTATATTTCTGCTCTTGATGCTCCTGTCCTGCTGGTCCCCCAAAGACTAATCCACCTGAGGAGAGGGGGCCAGGTATGTATATTTGTATATTTGGTATTATTTGATATTTGATTTATTATGAAATCCCTTTATTTTTATTGAAAACACAACATTCACAGCCATTTCTCCCTAACGCCTTCTTTACTGCTTTGCTTTGAGCCTTGTGGTTTACTGTGTGCTGGACTGGGAGAGTCGAAAACTTAAAAGAACAAAAAGGACTCATCTAGGTTTGAAATTCACTCCTGAAAAGGCAGCGCTCCACAGGAGCTCCTCCGGTTTTTGGACTCTTTTGAGCTGTTTTCGGGTCCATGTGTGTCCAGATTTTTTGTGTTTTGCTCTGGTTTTGTTGTGTGTTTAGTCTTTTTTTTTAAGTTTTTTTTTTAGCTTTCTTGGATTTTTGAATTTTCTCAAATTTGCAGTTGAACAGTGGCACCAACTGTAGTTAACTTTAGTTATTATTCTTGTACTGTCTCGACTTTTGTTGTCTTTTCTTTCCTTCTGTAGTTTTCCTTCATTTTCCCAGGTGTTCATTAGCTCCTTTGTCTCATCTAAACTCATTCACCCTCCACAATACATAATTATCTCCCTGTCACTCCTCCAAAGTCCTTGTCAGATCATCACATTTAAAACCATTCTTTATTTTTTATTATGTTTTTTTTTTCCAGCATTTTAAGTATTTATTTTCCCCCGTCTGCTTCTTTTATTTTTTTCTGTTTTTTCTATTGGTGGTTTCCTGGCTTGAAGTTCATTATCAACCTCCTTTTTTCATCTCTTGGTCTACATCCAGATGGATGGATGGATGGATGGATGGATGGATGGATGGACAAAATCAAACGAAGACCGTTTGCTGGCTTTAAAACCAGAAAAGTTTGAGCTCAGCTGAACATTTAGGGCTCATTTAGGGAACAAAAAAAACTACTTTGCGTCTTTAAATAAAGCCTCCGATGGCTCTCGAAACACTCCTAATCTCTGTGAGCACCAGATAACGCCCTGCTAAATAACCATTTAATGTTCAGACATTAAAAGCCGCCTGTGGAGGAAAGGTGCGTTCAAAGGAAAGCGTCTCACGGCATCTTTTTCCCAATACAAAGCAATTCACCGAAAATTGGTGATGAGCATCCTTACATTGAATCATTCAGCAACACCTGACATATTAGGGGCTTTCGCATATTATCGGAGGTGTGGTGTCAGCACATTACATATTACATCAGTGTCAGATTCAATTACAATCATTCATCACAACCATTCGGAATTTGAGATAATCCCGTCGGCTTCTCCGCTTTTCATCACGAGCAGCAAAAAAAGGAACACCTGTTTCCATATTAGAGGCCAAATTACTCTCCTTTTTGTTGAAAATATACTCCCCTTGATGGCCTCGTTGTGAAATAAGAGCTCCAACATGAATGCGGCATGATTTTAAATATGAAATGAGAGCTGGACATATGGTGAGTTAGGCAGGCATATTGCACCTGTTAGCAAGTGGAATATCTGTGTCAACACCATCTAAAAAGCCTCATAAATTGCGCTTAAATTCGTATTAAGTTAGTTTCCGCCATGAAAAATCCAAATAACATAAAAAAGCCTTATTCCTCCATCGTGGTGATGATCACAAAACAAATAAAAAGTAGATTGTCAAACGCTTTGTGTGTGTTTTCCTATCCGTTAAAAGGCAAGATAAGTCAGAAAACGTGAGCAGGGAGCCCATTCAGACGGATTCGAATTAAATAAAAAGGAGCCGGAGAGAGGTGAGGAGCCCCACACGTGGCAGAAGAATGAGGCGGAGGAGAGTGTTAATCAGAAAAGATGGCTCCACGGGAGAGCAGAAGGTGAAGGGGAGCGGGAAAATTAGGGGCGACGAGGTGTGAAAGAACCAAAGGGACAGCAGAGAAAGGTTAAGGAAAAGGAAAAGGGACAGAAAGGAAAGGGGAATTAAAAGAAAACACGGCTGTCCTCTTTCCATCAAAACTAATATTTCAATTTTGCCCCTAAAAGAAATATTAGGGCAATTTACAAGCTTCATCTTTTCACAGAAACATATACTTTCCCTAGTTGTGAGATCAGAGATTTCTAGACTAATGTTTGCTAACCAAGTTGGGTTTTGTTGACGCTCTTCTGTAAAACCAAACGTTCCGGAAAGCGTGCGCAAATATTGAGGAACGTCAGCTTCCGGGAGCCGACGCCCACAAAACACCGGACCAATCACGTGCCCAGAACCAGCAGCGAAAAACTCCAAAAGAAATTGTTCTCGCAGCTTCAGGAGCTAAATCAAATATAGTAAAACGTCTACATATGAATTAATCTGGTTCCAGGAGTTAAAATATTCCTATTTTGGTTCACATATTCCCATCAGAATACACTGTAATTCCTGTAATTGGTTCCAAATACCTACGATAACTCCTTAATAAATACTGCAGATAATTACACATAGCAATAAAACAAATGCATTATATAAGAAAGATAGAAAAATAAATAAATGATAAAGAAATAATCAATAAAAAGGGGTTTTATTGGCACTTTACCAGGAGAACGGCGGTAGAGGTAGAGACTGAGTTACAGGACGAACCCTAACTTACTTTCACTATGTGAACTTTAAACTAACTTATATTATTTATTTTTATTTCATTTCAATAATTCTTTTTTTTTTTCTATGATTTTGTTGTAAATTGAAAATTTATGAGACAAATATTTAATCGTATTTCACTTTGGATGTTGGAAAATTTTGTATGTTTAGACAATCTTTAGCAGAGGTTCTGCTGTATGCAGAAAGTCAATTTTCCCGT